CGTCGTTCATATCATACTGATAAAAATCACATCATGCTTGCTTCGGATGATTATTATTACTTATCCTTGCTCATATTACGTTGTGCAAATTGTTCCATCTATTTCTGTAATTAGACTGTTATCGCTATGCTAAAATATTGCTTTCAAAAAATCAGACCTAGCTAGAGATATTGAAATAGGATCAGAGTCGCAACATAAGCTCAATGACAGAATATTAGCCGAAATGATACCCATCATAAGAGTGCAAGGGAAGTCGACATCAAATGGGTACAAACATTTCAATCCTTTCATCGTACGTTGAAAAAGTAAAAGAAACAATCCGTAAAATGGATTTCAAATATGCAGAAAGAGGAATGGAAAGGAACGTTGTATGTAAGATGCAGTGGATGACTGTCAATCCAGATCAAAAGAACTCAGCGAGAGCTAGATAAATGAAAAAGCTTGGAAAATTGAGAAATTCCCAGCAAAACGACATGGGGTTAGAGCATGCGTGTACCACCTCCGACACTTCCTTTATTTCTACAAAAACAATTCTTGACGGTCAATGAATAAAATCTGTGCTATCAAAATATATCGCTAAAATCTTGGCTAATAAAAAAGCCGTGAAGGCAATGTGAGCAAACTTGTGCAAAATAAACGAAGCTGGATTGTAACTAGCTAGTTATCTCGAAAAAGTCGAAGTACTCTGCGCTCACTATCTACAATTTATACGAAAATAAGAAAACCTTTCAAGTGCCATTTCAACGCGACAAATAACCGGTCGCAAACACGCAGCAGCGAGACCACTAGGGTGTGGCCGCGTTCGCACTCACTAAATTAGATGCTCAGTCGCAATGCCTAATGAGAGTTTCATGTCGAGGCAAAAATTACCCGCCTTTCTGAAGAAAAAGGGCGCCAATATCGCCGCTACCTTGAGGTTAAACCTCAGTTTATAAAAGGCTAGAAGAGACAACTTCGATAAAAAACGGACCGTATTTAGGAACCCACCTGTACGAAATTCCCCAAGCCACCTTGGCAGTAAGAGCGGGTTGGAAAACTTCACGCGTTATGAAAACACGAATAAATGGACCTCGGTACCCTGCACATCTCTCGACTCGTTACATAGCAACGGATCGGTGTTCGAGTGGTCGACTGACGAAAGGCTGCTAAGAATCCCAGGTGAAAGGCTATCATCTGGCAATCGAAACCGGATTTCCCCCGTCGTTTGCACCTACAACTGTATAAAACTGCGAAGGAACGTTAAATAAATTAATGGAGGAAAGGTCAGGGACGGCCAGCGACATCTTTGGCTCCTGTGAAACACGTAGCGGAAGGAGATGAATGGTATCTGCAAAGAAAATAGTTCGATATGGCTAGAAAGAGAAGAGGGCGCCAAAACATAGGAGGTACTGAATTTGTAGTCAGCACAAGCTGGAATCCCAAACTTCTGCTTTTCATATCATCAAGACTGAACATGTTTTGCCTCCAACTGAACAAGAAAAAATCGTTCAAAACTAGAGTCACACAAGCATAACTGACGAAAAGGAAATGGAAGAATTTTATGAAAAAGTGTAACAGGCATTGGTACAAAAGTACACGTAAACCTTCGTCAAGGGAGACTTCGATGCTAAGATCGGACGATGAAGGGCTGATAAAACATGTGTCGGTAGATGTGGCACCGGAGAGCGAAGTGAGCAAGGAGATCGACTGGTGAGCAAGGCAGAAACGAAACACCTAGTTCAAGAAGAAGACCAAGAGAAGAAATGAGCATGAATCACGCCCAAAGCGGCGACGAAGAACGAGACAGACTTAATCAGGTTCGATAATCAGTGGTGTCATCATTTAAAAACGGCAATGACTACAGACTGGTGAGGGAAATGTCAAACCTTCGAGGAGAACATGGACAGGAAGGAACTGCATATGCCAAATGGCAGACAACAACATAAGGTATTAGATGAGACGGTGCCCAAAAAAGGCATTTCCAGCGAAGACTGTAGCATAAAAAGCAGCTGCGATGATGACTACTGCTGCGTAAAATCAGGGGATGTAGTAACATTAAAGAGAGCTAAAGGAAGGATCCCAAAAAAAAGTCAAAGAGTTTGCTAGAAAAGCAGAGGATGATGAAAAGAAATCGGACCTACACGGTGGAACTTCTGCTTCTTTCCTAGCTCATTAGACGGAAGCAGAAAGACTTCAAGATGTTCCGATTACGAAAATCAGAGAAAGCAGCCGAAAACCGCAGAAGCCTCAGACAGTGCAGAAGTGAGTTAGCGCTTTATCTGCCGACCATCAGGGCAATGAAGAACGGGCATGACGAATTAACGTCGAACAGAGATGAGATGAAGTCTGTCTGGAAAAACTTACACATGAAGTTCTTTGCGTCAAAGACAAGTCCCCCCTGAATCACTCCAACAGCCCGACGCAAGTGCACTTCCGGTCGTCATAAAACAAGTAAGATCCCGAAGGAGTGACAGGATGACTACGGAAATGATCAGAACAGGTGACCAGACGTTGCGGAGGGTTCTAGTGGTAAAGTTCCGTTGCTACCTAAAGCGGAAAAGATCCAATCAAGCTGAAAGGAGTCAAAAACAATCGTGCTGTTCAAGAACAGCGAGAAGGAAAATCTGAAGAACTATCGCCCAATCTGCTTAACTTTCACAAGTCTAAAGAAGGCCTTGGTGAAAACATCAAAGAAGTCGATAAGTACATTGACCTTGTGCCATGAAATTAACATGCGGCATGATTATGCCGGATAGATTCAGCGGAGAAACAGGACTGGTTAACGAGCACTCCACCACGCCAGGACATCAGCCACATCAGGAAAGAAGCGAAGCAATCTCTTCAATTCCACCGTCCTGACATGGCAATATTGTACACGACAGTCAGACAGCGGACGATAGGGAGAACGTTGTCGTCAAAACCCGAAGGAAGAAGCTACGGTGGTCCAGGCAAGTAGCTCACCGAAAAGAAATGGTCAGCGATGATCGTCAATTTGTATCCCTGCGGACCAGGCCGTTTTGCATCCCACCACGACAATTGAAAGATTATATCATGAGCCCAGGAAGGCCGCGCATGGAAGAAGGCTCGAAACAGCGATTCGTCGCCGATTACCGGCCGGTCCAACCGAAGTGAAGTGATGATGCAATGAGTTCGTGGCAACGAACTGGATTGTAATTAAAAAGATTATTACGTCGTCAATAATCACAATTTCGTCGTTAATTTCTTAATTCTTTAAACTCTGCAACAAAAAGAAGGTCAGACAATGAACAGTTACTCCTAAAAAAAGGACTCGATACCGCCTCCGGAATCATCTTAATAATATCCTTGTTTCGTGAAAAGAATACCCTTGCCAGCCGAATCATGCAATCGTGATGAAACATTCGAAAATATTTATGAATCATTCGTCAAATGCTAAACTTACCAGTCTTCCAGACGAAAAAAATAATGGCGCGAAATTGCTTCACAGCCACCATCAACGCTCAAACAATTTATGGACTGAAAATAAATGTGTCCTTCTTTAGTAGTAGTGGCCAACAAAAAAACGGATTTAGATCCGTTCGCTGCAGCGTAGAGGACAAAAAACTGATGCGTCGAACTCCAGTAGATATCTGACACTATAATTAAGTGAATGATTATAAACACCAAACAAAAAAATACATATAAAATAATCGTTATTATTTCAAATACGGTGCGGCGGAGAAAACGCCGGATGTGGCTGTGGCCGAGCTCGTTGAGGAAAACTCAGAGCAGGACAAGCCTTACAGATTTGCCACCTGGAATCCTATTCTGTAAGAGAGTGAAATGCAAACGAACGTTATGTACAAGACACCTAACAAGGATGAACAGTAACCAAAACCGTTTGCCAAGATCGAGTCAAATGGACAACTCAATATAAACATTGCCCTCCGTTTGCTGGGTGCTGCTCCAGTCAGTCTACGGTGGACACCACCAAACTGATGGATGACCGATTACTTCAGCAGTGACGGATTGATACCAAAGGGGCTGCAAGCGCCTATCTGGATGACCTAGGCTGAAACGTGGAATGATGAGGTAATAAAGATATGAAAGCTAGTGGCGACAGAGTGCACGAGACGAACAAACGTGAGCGTTGACCCTAGGTAATGATCATCCCAGTTAATTACGAAGAAAGAATAATCAATTATTGCTGTTGTTAAATAATTCAAATACACCTAACTTCTGCAACAGGCCAATAACACTTAACGAATTCATATCTCAGCATTATTTATAACGAAGAATAACTTTCGCCAGGATGTCATTTTAATGCAACCGCTGTCGTAATACAGCAATTCGAACGCGGCCCACATTTTATCGCTCACTGAGAGTCTATTGATCTATCCTCCATCACCGTTCTTGTCACCTTCCCTCGTGCTATCAATAATCAGTCGTGATCTGCCGCCTCGCGTTTCTTCAACTCCGTGATCATAATCGTTATTCTTAAGTATTTTATTTATCCAGTGTTAAGATGAGTTCTGAAGTAGCAATTATACTAAAAGAGAAGGAATTCAAGATAATCTGAAGGTCCTTCAGTAGAAACTACGATGTACATGTCACAAAGATTTGAAGGTGGCGAAAGAAACAATGCCATTCGGAAAATCTAGATTTGGTGGTTCTACAAGAAAAATTCTTAGTAACAAGGTGTTCAAAAAATTTCCCAAAGATCAGAACACATTAATGCTGAAAGAGTCATGAAAATTCGGGTACTTAAGGTAAACAGGTACTTAGAGAAAATGAGATGTTTGCTGACCTCAGGGGTCGAACACATCTTTCAGCAGAAATTGGTTTGTCCAAGAAGATCATTAAAAAGACAAAGTGCACAAATGACTAACAAAAATCAAGACGGGCCTGATTCCTTTTGCAGCTAGCGATTAGAGGCTTGGTAGCTTCCAGAAACGTAAAGCGTTTCCTAATCTCAAAATGTTCAGGGAAGGTGCTGGAGCTAATTCAGCTGCTGCAGAAAAATTTTCACTGCTCCTCAAAACGCTGATTAAGCATGAGATATACATAGCAACAAGCTTGCAAATTAAGCGGGCGTAGACTTATTTCAGTAGCGAATGCTGACCGGGACACACGAGAAGACAGATCTCTATCTTCATGAGAAAGAAGTCCGCACTATCATTCAAAGCAGAAAATGAACACAGCACCGCTACTGGGTGGAAATGCATTGGCGGATTACAAGATCGAGCCATTAATACCTTACTGTTCAGAGAATATTGTAGAGCTAGAAAAAACTGCGTCGATTTGTTGGTGGTGCACCAACATGGCGAGCTGAATTAATTAGGTCATTTTTAATGCTTATTTTTTGAAATGAACGTGAACAGGAATTGACCGCGTGAAAACAACACCTCATTCGTTTCTTCGTCTTTCTGAAACTGTATCAGGCCCTCACACAATCAGACCAATTTCCGCATTAAGGGAACGTATCTATCACCTAGGAACCTTCTCGATTCAACCTATGGCCAGAGCATTATTGCAAACTCAGTGTGCACTTCTAATGAAGAACTCTTGCCAAACTTCTGAAGGATGCTGACAAAGAAGACAAACCAAGCAAAACAATTTCTGGCAGAAGTTCAACAGTAATAGAGTCACTGCATCACTAGTCATTCTTGAGCGGAAGTCCCAAAAAAATGCACGGCGTACAACAAAGAATCTGATTTTTAGGGCTGATTCTAAGCATTAGGAAACTGCAAGTTCGATCATCGTCGGGATACTGACCTACTGTACTCGTATTAAAGAAGTTGATGGAAATGATATCGAAGGTCCGCTGGGTTCGAATAGAGCAAACGTCGGAATTAAGTTCTACGGTACTGAAGGGAGATCAAACACAAGAAGAATATGAATTTTGTCGTTAAAAACTAGAACTTATTAGGACACCTTTGAAAAAATTTGACAAACACTTCTAAGCACTTAGATGAGATGACTGCTACCTGCAGTGAAATATGTCATCAGAGGTACTTCAAAGGTATAAAAAGGCTAATCAGGTTTAAACTGTTAGAAAAAAACATCACTATGAAGCAGAAGGCATTAACTCAATGGTGCAGAAAGCAATTTCCCGAAGCCTCCAACCACGGAATCCTTTAGCGTCAAGTGAAAAAGCTCCAAAAAATTAGCTAACTATCCTCCAGCCCATTAAGCTAACTATTCTTAGAAGTTCAACATTTCTGCGGTTCTGTAACTTTAGGGATGCTTTATTGGTTGCAATGAATATTAATTTATCTGGCAAATATGCATAAATAATCATTACTTAAACACTTAAAGATATCACCTAAATAAGTCTGGGAACAAAAGTTCTTGAATTTGCATGCAATCCTGGGTAAAATTACTTTCAATTTACACCAAATTGATCAACACCATAACCCTCATATGAATACACCTGTTGCGTAAAGTGAGCGTTAAATCTTACCTCTACAACAGAACTAATAAGGTGACAACCTCGCTACAGAGACTGCTGCTTTGAATTGCATGCAACTGCAGCACCGGTTTTAAAATTACACCATGGTTCATCTATATCAATCTAATGTGTAAGTTCACAGATCATCGTGACTCTCAAAGAACGACCAATCACACATCTGTCCTCAGATTAGAGAAAAATGACAAATAATGCAACTTTAACGCCACACAAAACATAGACTGACCAGATGGTAAGACGGGACCGATGTTTCAAACCGCATTCCACATAGCTTCCTTAAGGCAAACAGGCTAATGCTTTTCTTATGTTCTTGTTTTCTGTAGCAGATGACTGCTACACGGCTCAAACAATCACAGAACAAGTGAAAATGAAAAAAACCACTGGACTATGCTCGGAACAACTTCCGGGAGATAGAGGCCGCAATACAGCCATTATATTGACTGCCAGTAAACAGACTTAAATTTTTTACGCTCCGTTAAACGAAGCCTTGTTTCCCAATCCTCTTCAGAACATGTGTGCCAACACACGCACATGAGATTCAATATCAATTAAAGGCACACACAAAATACTGTACTGAAATGATGAATACAAAAAAAGAAGAGCACTTAAGAAGTGTCAAGCTGCGCTTAGCTCTGTGTAACTGTAGAAGCAATAAAAATGGTGAAAACTTCAAACCATTAGCAAGCAGCAGAGATGCTCAAGGCGTTTAAATCTGCTAAATTTGATCAGCATCAGTAACAACCACATGTACATCAGGTAAACAACGCGAATGATCAGGAAAAATTTTAGAACGGATTCAACAAACGTTCTGACGACATGGGTTGCATAAGCAAATCAAGTTTGAATGACTGACATCAATACTAAAAACTGTACTTAATATTTTCACTTTGTGTTCAAGTCTGTCTACGCTCGTGCCCTTTCGTAAAGTCAGGACTGCTGGATATTGATCAAAATAATACGATTATGCATACAAGCGGTAGGATGAAGAGATTCGATACATCAAAACTCGACACATGACATGCGTTAGTTTGTGAGCTGTTCATATTCCAGATCGAGATGCCACAATTGGTATTTTTGAGCAGTTAGTCTGGGTGTCAGAGTAGAATGGACTGGATCTAAGCTAAATGATAATGCTTACTGTGCGATGAGGTGGGGAGGGGAGATCAGTAAAGCCAATGTTGAATGCATTTTTCAGCTTTACTCCAAAGTCTCACTGTCAAACATAACAGAAATTAATTAAATCGAAATATGACAAAAAGAACAGAACCTTGGGTAAAAGTTTCATATGGGTATGGCCACGTCCTCACGATATCGAGGGTATGCTTGCATTGAGAAAATTGGCCATTTCTCCTGCCGAAAACCAACTGGCGTCCTTTCGGACTCCAGGATACTACAAGCAAAAAATATTACATTTTTCAGCTGTTTTAAGCAAGCCCTTACAACAAGTGGCATCAGTTAGCTTCGAGCCGGATCCATGAACATTGGGACCTTTGTCACCTCCCAGATCTACGACGTACGCTGAACCATCGCTCATTACTGCCGCAAAGACCGTTGTACTCACAGGACTCCATTTGAAGTCGACGAAATGAATGTCATGCTTCAGCGACAGTTTGACGCGACAGTCAGGATCACCCTTCGCCGAAATCTGCAAAAAAAGGTTTATGTTGACGGGCAAGTAGAACAAAATGATTTGTACCTTCGATATGTCGTACGCATAAACAAATGGCATATCGGCTACGTTCAGACATACAGAGAGAATATTGCCCTCCATGTTGCAGTCAATAATTGACGAAGCAAGCAACGGCAGCCGACGCACATAAGGTGACGACACGTGTACTGCATCACTTGCTGATGTTGCCTTCGGCGAAGTAAAGTCAGCAAGAGAGTGAACTTGAACATCTCAACGAAAAAACTTCATTAACATTCACTGGTAATATTCACATAAAAAGGAAGATACATCTGACCTACAGCTAATTTTATCCAAAGTGGCAATTACTAATGGCATCTTTGGAGGGGGATTGAAAAATGTTCCTATTGGTGAAACTGTCCCTTTGCTTGAAATGGAAGGTGCTTCGATGGTTAGATAAATCCATGCTCCCAGGGGCAACGCATGAATGTGAAAGATGGACCCTAGTCAACTATGCTGTTCAAAAACAACTCAGCAAAGCTGCATGGAAAGGCGCGTTGGAAATAACATGCAGAAACAGAAAGACATGTGAATGGGTAAGAGCGCAAAAGGAGTCCAGGATGTCAAGTGGAAATAACAATATTTGGCTCTATTCTGAAAAACAGCAAACAGCCAGTGGGAAGACACAGATGATGAAAAAATTGACGTAAGAAATAACCGAATTCCGCGCATAGCGAGAATCTCTGGGAATATTTTTTTATTGCTACGATAGATGCAACATCTCCAGGACTGACCATAACATATTCAAAACAGGCAAAGAAACCAAATGAAACTACCTCAATAAAGTTTCCCCATATAATTTTGCTTGTTTATTACGGATTATTATGTATAATCAAAATCAAATCACTGTTTAAACAAAGTAATGATTCATCGACCTGGTTCGTCAAAGCAGTGTCTACTGTTGCGCTGATATGTTCGGGTCGAAGTAGGACATCCTCTAAATCCTTAGTACGAAATGTGGTTCAACCAATATTGAAACGGATGATTTGATATTTAAAAGAGAATGAACTCGATTCATAAGAAGGTGAATTAAATTAAATAATACCACACGTATCGTTCAGAGTCCCATCGGAAAACTCATTTCTGACAGACAGCGCTCTCACAGATTGCGCAATAAACGCTAAAGAACTTTCAGGCCAAATGGAGAACCAGAATATTGCAAATTTTCGTTTAGTTTATAAACCTTGCACTTGCACTACTTTCGTATTTTGAAGTGAATAAAAATCTGAGAATACTTCGAGGGGCTGAGTGTGCAGTTCTCAGTGAATAACAACACAACGTAAATTACCATTAATGCCCACGTCACAGACGAAACTGACTTGGAATATAAAGGTTTGTTTAACTGCTTTCGCATGCTATGCATAAGAGTACAAAAATGTTGTCCATAATCTGACTTTAGCATTCCCATTTCAGATAGCGGACAAAGACAACAGTACGGAGCGAAGAACGGTACAGCGCATACTTCAGAACAACCATGATAGTAATGATGACTAATCGCGAACCTTGACACTATCAGTCTACCCAGCAGGCTCTGACAACCCAGCTGAAAGAGCTTCTTATTTCTTAATTCACTGCTGCCCAAAAGTATACACTGATTAAAAACCCGGATGGAAAATTTTGGAGCCACCATATGGGTTAATCCATAAAAAAGCATTTTAAAATCTACCTTTCATATCGTCAATCCTCTGAACAGAGAACGATGATTTATTTACAGTAAGAACGGAAAAACTGGACAATGCTTGGTTTAACATCATGAAGCGGAGCGTAATTAACACCGTCTGAGCGTTTCGCATGGTCAGCACTTAGAAAATTCGGCGTTGCCCGAAGATGCAGATTCATGTCCTTATCCCGTTGAAAAGCGGGTGACATTTATTATTATATCACACTGCAAGAATATTTTAAAATAACGTTAGATTGCCATCAAAACATATACTGTTACAACAGAAACATTTTATGCCATGAAGCGACGTTATGAAAAGATATTAAGTTATGGAAACAACACTACATTAAACAGCATATATTGATTCATTTCCAGTAGAACTCTATAGAGCGAATTGAGAAAGCCAACTCAAAACAATGACAGTATAAGTTCCGTCAGACGGGTGACTTACTGTACTTACATAAAATTATATATACTGTGTACCTAAATTAATTCAATACTAAGCATAGCTCAAGCCCGTCGACAAGAAATGATTAAACAAGCATCGATGTACTGTAAGTACGAAAATGCCATGAAGATGTGGCAGCTCGTTTTAAATGGTGCTCTATACATCTGGATATAAGTTGGTGGTATAATAACCAGTAGATCAAGTGGGCGGAATCATGCTTATGACCTAAATAAAAGCTATAAAATCAATCGAAAAAATGCCTTAGGAAACCCAGAAATACTGCTTATGCTTCTATTTATGCTTCCTGACACTTTACACTTTGTAAGAAAATTGTGGTCGTAGTATGAAAAAGAAGAGAAAGACGCGATCGTATTCAAAAAACTTTACGTGTATACACTTCGTTAAACTACAATCGCCTCGGAAAACTTTAAGCTCCACTGATATGAGGAAGAGCAAATAAAGTAACAAGATGTCGATTAGCTATAGATGTGCTTCAAAAGAGTATTACTTCCGACTGCACCTCTTTGTTCGTTTTGTCGTACCATTCCTTAGTCACGATGAATGTGAGTACTTCTGCATTGGATTTCATGCTTTTCAGTGTCCGGAAAACGTCGCCTAAGGTTGCTAAGCACCTTCCCAACAACCTTTGTACTCTCTTCAACTTTCCGGCCTACGAACACCATCCGCATCTGCTTTATGCATGCGTACGCTGTCCTAACGTTTGTTGAAATCAAGTAGAAAGGGTATCATACCGCCAAAACTGTCCGCCGCATGTCTTGAGTCAGTATTTCGCCAAATGATACGGGATGGAGAATTTTTAATCATCGGCAGACGGCTCACCACTTAATTTGCTGACGACACCGTGCTGTTGGGGACGAAGGCAAGATACAGAAGCCATGCTGTGCGAGTCAGAGTTAAAGATCAAGTACTTTGAACTTAGGATAAATAAGGAGAAGTTGATGAGAAACGAATTCGCACAGCCAGCTTCAGTGATCATCAATCACTAGCAAACAGAAGAAGTCGTCGAGTGTGTTTGATTGGGATAGCTAAGTATATCGGACCACTCTTTTGGTCTAGAGCTTGCTAGGCGTCGCGCAGTGTGAAGTAAATAAATATAATAGTGTGTTAATATTTTTGAAAATAACTATCAAGTGCGGTTAGAACCACAATGCACAAAACTGCGGTACTGCCACCAGCTCCAAATGGTTGCGAGACCTCGGCACGAACGGAAAACGAAGAACCGTTAGGAGTGCAACAGTGAGTTATAGAAAGAAGGACGCTAGGAACCTCCATAAGGGACAAGCTGAGAAAATATGAAGACGGGAATGAATGATGCATCGGTCTCAAAAAAGAAAATAGGTAGGTATGTACATTAGGTAGGTAGGTAGGTTACATCGCACAGTGGGCGGATAACTGATGGACTTTAGTAGCGATGGATCGGCATCGAATAGGCTGAAAGAACCCAACTGGAAGACCTTGGATCAGATTGAAATAATGAGCTATAAGTGAGACATGGAAGCTTGTGGCGACAAATCGCACGACAAACAAGCGAGAGCATCGAGATTAGGCAGCAGTGATTTCCGTTAATCATGAAAAATGATAAGCCAGTTGTTGTTTGATTATAAAGTGACCCAATCGCCTTCCTTTTTAATGATGACAACTGTTCCTTAAATCAAGTAGAGATCGTTTGGCTCATAAAATAACATGGTAACGCCTCAGAGAACCAAACTCTTTTATCACAGAAACTTCTATAAAATTCATAATGACATAACGGAGCAAACTTTTACCCCCGATGAATAAGAAGCGGGTACTCGAAACGTTCTGTTGGGAAAATAAGAGCTTAATACACTTACTGTCTAGTTGAGTAAGCGTTTAATCTACGATTAAGTAATACACAATATACATTCGGACGATTCATTACAGTTAGTTACGGATATTAAAAGTAGCACTTTAGCCTTGCAGCCACATTGACATCCACGTTTCTTCTTCCGCTGGGGAATACTTTTAAATCGATAACATGCAAATCTCCGTGAATAAGACAATAACCACCGATCACACGCATAAAAATCTTGAGTTTCTTAACTCACGGATAAGCTTAACAGATGATATATAGAATGTAATCTTGAAGGTGTTATTGAATATCAACAATGAAGCGCATCAATGAACAGTAAAATGTATTTATTCTTGTGCGTATTTATCGCAATCTCGCTCAAACCATGAATCAAAAGACTCAAGACGTCAAATTCCTGGAATACAATCGACATCAGCTGTACAGCCATCCTAACACAAACTCGCATCATTGTAATATTCATTAACATTAAATTCGATAAGAAAGCAACCAAAATTTTTTACCACTTTCGCTGCCGACAAATAGCAGATTGAAAGGACGCGCTATGCAGAGCAAACGATGATATCGCGTTTTCACGGACTCCGCAAAAGCTGCTGACGGTTCAAAAATACGGCAAAATGTCCAATGCTTGAAAGGATATGGATAATCCTAAATTTTAAAGTTAAATCAGACAGCTTTCATAGCTACTAATTACAACCATTCGTCGCTCGTCCTGCCGGAAAACAGCCACGCAAGCCGCGCTTCGCACAGCACAAAAATAAATTTTGAAATGTTAACCGTCATGTGCATAAACTGATACGCATGTACATAAAAGTACCTGATTGATTGACCTACTATATTACAACAACGTTTCCCTATGTGATTACTGATTGAAACATAAAACATATACGCCCCGGCAGCAACCTGCGCTAAGAAAAGAATAAAGCGCGTAAAATCCTGCTTTGGAGAAGTTTTGCTTCAACTTTTACTTTTCCAAAAAATGAAATAACCCACTTATCAGAAGATTTGTATGTACGCTGTGCTGCTCCTAGAAACGCTGCTCACGTAAAAAATTCCTTAACAAAAAATTAGCAGATTGGAAATGAATAAACGGACAAATATTAATTTCAGTGAATGAGGGAGAATTC